GACCACCGTCAGGCTGCCATCGCCAAAATACTGCACACAGACCGCCGTCAGGCTGCCATCGCCAAAATACTGCACACAGACCGCCGTCAGGCTGCCATCGCCAAAATACTGCACACAGACCGCCGTCAGGCTGCCATCACACCGACACACGGTGCCAAGATACTGCAGACACACTACTAAATACTGCAACCAAACCACCGCAATACTGCCAACACGCTGCCAAATACTGAAGACATGCTGTCCGCACACAACCAGCACGCCACAGAAGTACTACCGCTAAGCTGCCGACACACTACAGCCCTCTACAAACACGCAGCAGCGCACAGATAACGCACCTCTGACGTGCTTCCAGCGCGCTCGACACACTGCCAGCTCGCTGCGGCGTGCACGCTGTCAGCACCCCGCCGGCGTGGGCACGACGCCGCCGTGACCCGTGTGCCCCGCTGTGTCTCGCCAGGTGTGGAAGTACCCCAAGGTGTGGGAGGGCTTCGTGAAGTGCTGCCAGCGCACCAAGCCCCAGTCCTTCAGCGTGCTGCTGCAGCTGCCCCCGCCGCAGCTGACCAGCGTGTTCGAGCGCTGCCCCGAGCTCCGGGAGCCCCTGCTGGGCCACGTGCACTCCTTCACCCCGCACCAGGTAGGGCCCCTCGCCCCCCCCCCCTCCTGCAGTCCCCTCAACTCCCCCAGCCCAGCTCTGACCCCTCTCTCTCTCTCTCCTCTGCTCGTGCAGCAAGCACACATCCCCTCCTCCATCATGGCGGTCCTGGAGGCCAGCGCCAAGCAGGAGCCGGAGCTGGGACAGCCGCCCGAGAGGGACGCGGTGAGTGGGCTCCGCGCCGAGGGGGTGGGGGGAGCTCCGGGGGACCGTGGGGGGAGAGAGCGCCCCGCCCCCTCAACGCCAACCCTTCGCCCCTGGGTGTGGAGCCTCGGGGTGGAGGTCTCGGGGGCCTTGAGCACACTGACCTCGGCTCTCGTTCTGCCCCAGGCGGAGCCACGCGGCGCTGGGCTGGCGGACGGGGCGGCGGCGGTGGCGGTGG